AACTCTTTACTACAATACACACTCAGTGTTTTCTCCTTCCTCTCTCTTTCTCAAAGACTGACTAGATCGTCGGAGGGGATACGCCGAAAAATACTCTAGCGCCCTTCTAACTTCGTTCTTCTTTGTTCCAGGAACCTCTTCCAGCCTTACTGGATCGTTCTTCCGCTCCCCCAGGGTCTCCCGTTGCCGTTCCAGGTTACCACCGGACCTCGCAGGCTGTTCCAAGCAGCGTGGTTGGTCACTCAACTGGCTCACTCGAGTTCACCAAGGGAGAGATCTGTTCTCGTTTTTTATATTGTGCAGGATCTTGCACGCACAATCTGGCGCCGTCTGTGGGAAACGACTAGTTTTCCTAGTTTTTTCTCTATAAAGAACAGTGACCATGGTGAACACTCGACAGAAAGGGAAAGGCCCCCACCAAAGGAGTCTCGAGTTACAAGCTCCCTGTCATCACGGAGGAAGGGATCACACCGATGTGAATAAAAGTGCCTCTACTCGGTCAAGAGGGGTTACCCCTCAAACTAGTATGGGAATCAGGTCAGGGGGATCAGCCCCCTTGGCTCGTCAGCTGGCGGAGGTAATTGAAGAAAAGTTTGGCGATAGATTACGACAGCTAGAAAAGGACAATGTAAATGTCCTAAGCCGGCTTAACGAGTTTGCCGCCTCTAGCGAAGGATCGAGGGATTCATTCCTTTCTCGTGGGATTCCCGCCCGGGAGGCGGAAACAAAGGATCTAAGAAACCACCTAAACAACAAAGCAGAAAGCTCTAGGGCCCCAAAGCGACCCAGAGCCGGCGAGCATCATCATGACAACCATTCAAGGAAAGCAAGGCCATTGGCCCTGGACGACCTCCGGCGAGGTTTGTCTAGACGGAGGAAGGGAGATGAATCCGAGGAGGACTCAACCCAATCCACACGACGCCCAGGAAATGAGGGGCTTACCGATGAACTCAAGGACTTCAGAAGGCATCCCGTCAGGGAAAAAATTGATCTCAGAGCCCGGTTAGACTCCAGGAGAAAGGGTAAGGCTGTCCAGGATGAGGCCGAGGACGAAGTCATACAAACACCCTTTACGAGGGAGATCGGTGAGATGGAGGTTTCAAGAAAGTTTGTCGTGCCGCGGTTCAAAACTTATGACGGGCGGTCCGATCCCGAAGCCCATGTCAGGCAATACAAGCAGATGATGTCCCTTTATCATTCGGACCAACGGTTTCTCTGCCGAGTGTTTCCTATGAGCTTGGGGGACTCTGCGATGAAGTGGTTCGAGGCGCTTCCCCCCAACAGTATTGGGTCCTGGAAGGAATTGACTAAGCAGTTCCTGGCTCGATTCATTACGGGGAGTAAGCGCCCCAAAGACATTGGATCATTGCTGACCCTCAGACGGAGGGAATCCGAGACTCTTCGCCAGTACGCCATCCGATACTGGGAAGAGGTTAATGAGGTAGAAGGCTGCTCGGAGGTCATGGCAGCAGCATCTTTCCGGCTCGGCTTGGCAAGGGACACGGACCTGTACCGATCCCTGACCAAGAAGACCCCCTCGGATATGGTGGAACTAATGGCCCGGATAAACAAATACTCGAGGATTGAGGACGAGATGGGAAGCAGCAAAGGTCGAGCCCTCCAATTTAAGAGAAAAGAGAAGGAGCGGGAAGATATTCCCCGAAAGGGACTACTACCCCCTCCAGGGGGTCCGTCCAAAGGAATTCACACCGTGTTCAAGGAACCCATCTTCAAGCTGCTCTATAAAATCAAGCACGAGCCGTCTTCAAATGGCCGCCCAGGATGCAGAGCGACCCCTCCACCCGTGATCAAAAGGTTAGGTGTTTCTATCACCGGGATTTCAGGTATCGCACCGAAAGCTGCAGGATTTTCAAATTGTTCTTGGAGAGATTAGTCCAAGACGGATATTTGAAAGAGTACATAGAGCCCAGGCCAGAAGAGTGACAAGCCCTTGCCCCGACCGAGGAGCCGGACAACATCATAGATGTCATCCATATATGTCCCCTGGATCGCCCCACGTCCAAGGAACTCGAGTCCGACCTCAAGAGGGTAGCTTTTACAAGGAAGGTAG